TTAAAAGTAACTAGTTACAGTTACTCGTGACCGAGTAAAAAATTTAACGAGTTACCGTTACAGTTATCGCCTTTTAAAAGTAACTCGTTACAGTTACCGTTACTCGAAAAATAACTTTTCGTTACTTTTCCGTTACTTTTTTAAAATCTATCTAAAAATGTACTTTTGCATTTTTTTTTATATGTAACACTGACAAATATATAGTTTTATTTTTTAAAAAAACAATGTAGAATGGCTCAAATAATAAATTAAATAAAAGTAAAATGAGAAGGATTACGAGCCAAAAATGAAACAGTTTATTTCCGATAAGAACAACGATGACAATGTAATTAAATGTATAAATATATATTAGAACAATAACATGGATAAAACAAGATAAAAACAAACGACGTTTCGACACTTATTGTCATCGTCTTATTGGAAATAAACTGTTTCGCTTTTGGGTTCATAACCCTTCTCATTTTATTTTTATTTAATTTATTTTTTAATTTTTTTTAAACACAATTTTGTAATTCTAAAACCTGTAAAATATGCAGCAAACTGAAATATTTGTATGTCCTATGTATTACATAGAAGATAGAAGTGTAAAATAATTACTGAATCATGACGACCCAATGCCTAAGGGCTTTCAAGTCTTATTGAAAAGCGCTATAAATGACATGTATCCAATCGAACCGTGTTCAATCGTGTGCAAAGTAACGACAAAAGTAACTGTAAATTTCGTTACCGTTATCCAAAAAATGTAACTCGTTACCGTTACAGTTCCCAAAAAAAAAGTAACGCAGTTACCAGTAAAGTTACCAAAAAAGTAACTTGTAACTGTAATTTCGTTACAAAGTAACGAGTTACTTCCATTCCCTGCAAATGAATATAGAACATAGTCTATGTATAAATATTAATAAGACTGCACAATGATGTTTCAGTACTACTTACATAATTTGCGACTTAAATTAATGAACTTAATAAAGTGTAAACGGGTAAACTCGTATAAATTAACTTAATAAGATAAAAATGATTTATGAATGGTATATTATACTCTATATTTTGTTGTAATTAAAACTGAATAAAGTTTCTAAGATTTTATTTTAAATTAAATTTTTCCTTTTTTTATTCACTCTATATTATTATCTGGAGACACGGTAGTGTCTCGGCGCTAAGCCAAGCGCCGCGCGACACTGCCGTGCCTCCTTTACGCGAATCTGAGAATTTTGGGGGATTGAGATGATCAGATCTCAGTAACGGCTGAACGGATCAAGTTCTATATACGCTCAATCGATAGCAATTGCTTAAATTGTATAATAAGTGTTTTTATTTTTTTTCTCTACGTGTCCTACGAGCGAAGATATCGCGACTCAAAGTCCGAACCTGTAAATTTTCACGTTTTATTTTTAAGATACGTCGTCGTCATTATTGTCGTCGTCGTTGTCATCATTATTATCGTCGATCACATTCCATTCGATGTCCTTCTGACATTCCTGCCGCAAGAGGCAAATGTGGCGCTAGTCTATACCGATCGATCGTCATGGGGCATGTGGAGTGTGGACTGCGAGCGGAGTGGTGAGGTGAAGGGGGTGCAACTTTCGGTTGATTTTCGAATAGTTTTCGTTCAGCTTTCACTGTCCCTCTTACCATACCGCACCGCGGCACAGTATAATGCCATTCGACCATCATGGAGCACTTGGACTGCACGCGGTGAGATGAGGTGGGGAGGGATGGGCAGATGCAACTTTCGGCTGATTTGAATCGCCTTTATCTAGCTTTCGCTGTTCCCCTCACCGCTCCGTGCGCAGAACAATGTCATTCGACTGTCATGGGGCATTTCGACTGCACGCGGAGCGGTGTGGTGAGGGGGACAGTGCAATTTTCGGTTAATTTTCGAATAGTATCTATTACTATATTACTATATGACATTTATCTATTAATATTTTTGATGTACACATAATTATTGAAAATGTTATTTGAGCAAGAATTTTCATTACTTAAAAGTAATGTTGCTAATTTTTCATGTGTTATACTCTTATACATTTCTTTACGATGTATACCAATTATTTAAAAAATAATTCAATATTATTTCAGATATTTCCAACTAATTTATTAAGCTCCTTCATTTTTGTTCATCATCCTTTTTTGAATAAATGGAATACAATTTTAGTCTCTTAAATTTTTAAAGTAATGAGAAAAAGAGATTAAGAGAGAGATAAAAGTAAAAGTAAATAATATAAAAGTACAAAATATGTCAAAATTTTGATTTGTAATATTATAAATCTTAAGTTTGGGGTATGACGACCAAACTTCAAAATCACTATTTTTATTGATTAAATACGACTTTTTATGCAATTTATAACATACACATATACGATCAGGGATGGGAAAGTTATTTTGTAAAAGTAATTAATTACAGTTACAGTTTTTTCTTTCAAAAAGTAATAAGTTATTGACTCTGTACAAGTTATTGACCCCGTTACAAGTTATTGACTCTGAAAAGTAATTCGTATAGTTACAGTTACTGAAGAAATAACTTTAAATTACTTTTAAGTTACTTTTTTATCAGAATTTTCACTAGTAGCATCGATACTAGCACTGTATTCAGAAACGTTACCCAACTGCCTTCGTGTATCGTTTTACGCTTGTTTTTCACCTAATATTAGACAAGAATGATACACAGGGTCATCAGAGTAATTAGGACAATTAAAAAAAAGACTGGTTTACATTTACATGTTATAAAAATTATATTGAAGAAGAAAATTGTATTGCAAAAACGTTTTTCGTTAAAGTAATATAAATGAATATGAAATAGCACATATACAATGTTTTCTTGCAAACAATATTCTTTTTATATTCAGCTAAAAGTTGCAAATAAATTCCAAATTCCAGCACTAATCCAAAATATACTATCCAAAAACCGTTTACTGAGCGCACTTGCATTTGATTGGCGGATTCCATTAGATCCAAAAATATGTATCAAACAAATACAAAAGTTCGTTGAACGCTTTAATTAGATTTCTTTCTTTTGATTAATCAAATATTTCGAAGCATATGTAGCTGGACATTATCGCAAATGGACACTATTGCATATTAAATTGATAAATAAGGGTCTCTTTCACCAACCTCGGTTAAGTCTTACCGACGGTTAATTCCAATGGAATTAAATAAATTGAAAATTTAAAGGACTCTTTTATATAATAATAATCAATAAGTTAAACAAGGGCGAAGTAAAAGTCAAATTACAATTAACGTTCTAAATAACTCTGATAATTTATTCTAATATATTGCGAAGAATATCACGTAATTTCTGGCGTTTCGTCCCGGCTTCCACTACTGGACTCATCAGTAAGGCATTGTAGTGGAACCCTACCTTATACGCCTTGGTAAGTTATTAAATCGAGATTCTATATAAAAAGAGATACGCGTGTCTCAGCACTTACGAGAATTAGCGAATATCGATAGATCTCTGATGACGAGTCGACGTAGTGATATTCTTCGCAATATTTATCCAAAGTAAGAAATATATGTGAAATGTCCCCCCTTTCCCAAATATTGTGCGCCGAAAGATTTCGGTCTTGCAACGCAACTCTAATCTGAAATGCCCCCCCTCTCAAATATTGCGCGCCGAAAGATTTCGGTCTTGCAACGCAACTCTAATCTAAAATGTCCCCCCTCCCAAGTATCCAATGGAATTATCCAATCGCATTTGTCTTTGACCAGAATGAACTAATCACGGTTGATACTTTAACCATCGGTTAGACACTTAACCGAGGTTGGTGGTGAAAGAGACCCTAAGAATTTGAATATATATAAAGTAACTATTAAATTAGTTACTAGTTACTCAAAAAATGTAACTAAGTTAAGTTATAGTTACAGATGGAAAAAAGTAACGAAGTTAAGTTACAGTTACTGAAAAAAAGTAACTCTAACTGTAACTTCGTTACAAGTAACGAGTTACTTTCCAAATACTAAAAATAATCTTGATACATACTGGTGTTATATTAGACTTTGCATAGACATATCAAACTACTCTTGTAAAAATTCATTAAACATTACCTAAATAATGTTTGATGAATTTTTACAGAATTTTTGCTAGTGTATTATGACGCAGGTCTGCTCTATTTTTGCTGTATTTCTGTTGTCGCTATACTGAAACGGTAAACTGTGTTCGACTGTTGAATGCTGCTCGATTTTTGCCATTATAATATGTGACATAAATTTGCAATGCGTGCTTCCGACACGTCTGGCTATCTGGGTTATTATATGATGGATGGATGTATGTATTATTTTATGATATAATAAAAATTATATACACACACATATATATATATATATATATATCAGGAGATGTGGTAGTGTTTCCGGCCATGTTCAAAAACTAATATATCCCTCCGTCTGCAAAGGGGGGTCACGCATGCCCTCCCGAAAACTTCCAGTTGTTGTAACTTCGGAAGGCGCCAAGAAAGGGCGCTAGGTAGCCTCCGTAAAAAAAGTTAGGTTGCCCGAGAAGCCCCACACGCGGTACCGAGTCGCCAGTTCGCCTCAGACCGCCGTGGCAGCCTGACGAAAATCGACGAAGGTACGAGTAACCGCCCTTCGCAAGCATTTTTTTTCAAAACCATCAATTGAGCCATTTTTTTCCTAAAAGGTACATTCTTCCCCTTTAATTTCGTTATTGATTCATGTCGATATCTTTCGTTGGCTTAAAGTTATGATTTTTTAAGTAAACAAGTGATTTTTCCATAGGTACCTCCAATTTTTAATAAAAAACTAAACAAAATAAATTTTTTTCGAAATATTATGACTTGGACTTCAAGTTAAAGGTTGAAAGAAGCCCCATGAATTTTTTAAGATTTTTTGAAGCGCACTAGTCGCTAAAAAACATACCAGGTCACGAGTTACCCCCCCTTGCAGACCTAAGGTGCCCAAAAAACTTTTGCAGACGGAGGGATATATATATATATATATATATACAATATGTTATAGAATCTTCGAAAGAACGAAAAGAAAAGAATATGTCACAGATGATATCAGAGGAAATACCAGCTAAACGGAAAACGTTAGAGGAACATGCTTTAGTGGCATCACAGAGTCCATCTATGCAGAATAATGTAAGCTTATTTTTTATTTAAAAAATTGCCTGGAAAAATGTTGCATTCAACATTTTTATAAAACTTTACAGAAAATAAAACATAACAGTTTTTCTAGTGACAATTTTTTAAGAGTTAAGTTTTTTATTATTTTTAATTAAGTAGAAGTCTTATTATTTCATAAAAATGTAATAAAAATAAAATTTTGTTTATTTAAAATTTGATACAATGAAATTATATATAACGAACATGTAATTTCTAATATTAATATACTGATATAAACATCAATTACAACTTTTTCTACTTACATAACTTTTTATCCATGAAGTGTCATTAATGTCATTTATTAATATTTTTCATTTTTATATTTGCTCCCGAAAAAAAAAAAATTAATAGACCTTACAGCTTGAATGTACTTCGTGATAGTACAAATGTAATTTTATCCACTTTTGTAACTTGGAGGTGTTGTAGCAGGAACTGAATTATTTTTATAGTCAATGTATTTTGTTTTATTATTTTTCGGTCTTTTACACTTTTTTCTATTTATCAAAATTAATTTTTCGTGTTTTATCTTTATTTAAATGTTTAATTCCATAGACACAGACGAAAAATCTTACTATTTCTCCTATATACTTTCATATCTAGAAACAACGTTTTTTCACTAATTGTCAACTTCTATCCAGAATTCTTTGTTTTATATATGTATTTTGATCATTAGATTTTGTCACATATTTAGCCATCATGCGTGCCACCACAAGCTACAAGCACTACTTTTCTATTAAGATATCACTTCATAAAAATCATGGTGGAAATATATAAGGTGAACCATTGCGCATAATGGCGGCATTGAGGGTGTGGCTTAAAGTTTCGACCAATCAGTTGTTACCCAAGCGGAGACGCGCGTATCTTAAGTGTACAAATTGTTAATTGGAAATTAAAACACGATGCATGGAAAATTAAATATATTAAATATAAAATATAAAATGAATACAAAATATGACTATAAAATATTAATAAAAATAGCATAAACGAAACAATTTGGCATATTTGTTATTTTATTGACACTTCTACATATGATAACAGTACGCGACAACACTCAGTGTCGACCAGTCGGCCATACTGAATTTTGCACTTGGGTAAAAGGCTGATTGGTTCATTGCTCCCCCCGCTACTTTTGAACGACTGCGCATCCACCGGAATGGTTCATCTTGTATATTTTCACCATGATAAAAATGATGATTGGAACATTTTCCTGGGTAATCCTTCATTTAACTAGCATATTTCCAAATGTTAATAAATGATGTACATTCGTATATTGTAGATTGAAGATTTGTATGGCACAAATAAAACAGACACATCAAAGAATTTTGAATCTATGAATGGTTCTACCACATTGACTCCCATAGTACAAAATTCTCAGGCAATTGTAAAGAAATATCGCTTGATAATACAAATAGATAAAATACAAAATAAACCAGCTCCGAAATGTAAAAAGATACTACCTATGACAGTTAGTAATGACAAGAAGAACACAAAAATAATTAAAAGCGAAAAGAAAAGAAAAATACTGCCAGTTTATAAAAACCTTTGTGGTAAGGATAGTTGCAAACTGAAAGAATGTACATCAATCAAATATCAATCAAAGCCAGAATTTAAATGTGAACTATGTGAACTATATCATAAATATTATTTTGCAATGAAATCCCAAAACTATTCTTGTAGTAAATGTTCCAAGTCTTTTCTTGATCCGAAATTGTTTGATATACACATGAACAAAACACATTTTACTTGCGATATCTGTCTGACAGAATGTAGTTCTCAAATGTCATATGACAAGCATGAAAAATTGCACGTTAATACCGATTTGTTACATCCATACAAGTGTCATCTGTGTGGCAAGATATTTGATCTGAAAGATAATGTTAAACAGCATTACCTGGAAGGTAACCATCTTAAAATACAGAATCTACAGAACACTGTTGTTCAAATGAATTCTCCTATAAAAACAATAGTTCCTCAACAAACTGATTATTCATGTACAAACTGCAATATTAATTTCACAAGCGACCAAGATTACAGGTAAACTTGTATTTCTATAAAAAGAATAATTATTCTTTAAGACAATTTTGCTGTTATTTCATTAATTATTATGTATTATAATTATGAAACAAAGATAGACAAAGGCAAATAAGAGTCAAATACAAAATTATAGACAACAAAGTCATATCATGATATAATACATTTGATTACAGAATCAAAAGTAATCATAAGTATATGTGTGTATAGTTGTTAATTTTTAAAAGTAATGTACTACATAAATAACATTTAAGATTTTATTTTCTTAAATATTAATATATTAAGTATGTCTTTTTTAATACATTTTCTTATAATGTTACTAATATTACAGGAATTACACATGCTCTAATGGAAAGGAAACAAGCATTACATGTAACATTTGCAGCGATATTAAGAAGATAATATCTGTACCGAATCCTTTAACCGGTAGTGAAATAGGAATTCTTCAGGAGATAAAATTAAGTTGTCGAGTGTGCTCTAAAGAGTTCGATAAGGTTAAGGAAATTGATTTGCACACGAGGACTCACTTAGAGGTCAAAAACGTCAAAAATGATAGTTTTATCGATAATATAGATGGGTCCAGCATCACCTTAAGCCTAAGAAATTGATCAAATATGCGCGTCCGTCCGGCCTACCACACCATTGAGTGGGGATTGGTCGGCAAGTGCTCCGCCGCTAGCCCCCAAACGTCATGACTTGAACGGCGCGCTTGCCAGGCCGTCCCACAGCAAGATAGCCTTCGGCCTCCCCCTTGCATCTCCCCCCCCCCCCCCCCCGTGTGTGTGTGTGTGTGTAAATAAACAATTTGTCGGTATTTACAAATGTGTATGTGTGTGCATTTTATATTTAATACAAAATAAAAAATGTAATACAATTAAAATCGTATATAGAAAATCATATATATTAATTATATATATTATTTATGTGTCAAATAAATAAATAAAATGAAGTAAGTTTAAGTTGAATTAAAGACTCTTTACAGTTTGAAAAAACATCAAAATTAAACAAGTATAAATGGCTATACAGAGTCATACGCTGTTAACGGAGCGTGGAAGATACAAAAATCTTACATTTAAATTCAAAAAATTCTGAGTCGAACATTTCGGTCCTTTACTCTGGACCATCATCAGCGACAATATAAAATAATCTTAGAGTTGGTGATGTTGTTGGCACGTAGTAACATTCTTCACCAACAGAGGTAAGTGGAGTGAAGGTGTTAACCAAATTTTGAAATTTGAAAAAATGTCTGAAATTTTTATGTAAAGTTATAATTCGAGATAACAAATGTTTATTTTGTTAATAAAAGTGTTAAACGGGCTTTCCTCTGTTAGTAGACAAAAACAATTCCATCATTCAATAAAAGTCATAGAAATTATCTGACAATTTCGTTTTAAAAGTGTCAGTATCTAACGACACGTAACAATGTAATGAAGACAATTAAAATAATGCGACATATAGTAAATAGGTCAAATTATTGTTTATCAATTTGTCTAATATATCCGCGTATGACTGATCGAGACCTTCGGTGTCTGTTTTTAAATTAAGACCATTTCTTTGTGCTTTAATACAAATCATTTCTGAGATTAAACGCTTATGATAAAAATTCTCGCAATCCAGAATATCCACATTGTTCCAATCGAATTCGTGATTGTGTTCCAATCTATGATCAGTAATGACAGATCTAGAGGTAGTATTCCAACGTATATGACTACGGTGTTCATTTATTCTGGTTTTTAATTTTCTCCGAGTCTGACCAATATAGGTTGCATCACAATCATTGCATTTGATTCGATAAACGACGTTCTTTTTTGTTTCACGTGGAATAGGGTCTTTTTGAACCTTAATAAAATCATTCAATTTATTGATACTAAAAAAGGAAATTCTATGATTTATGCCATTAACGATGTTTCTAAATCTATCAGAAAATCCTCTTACATTTGGAATGGTGAACCAAATATTACCTTTCACAATATTTAATAACATTACTATTTTGTTGTGTTGGTTTATTCATTATTGTATAAATTGTTTTTTTAATATTTGTAAAAATAAAATCTAATGGAAAGTCATTGAGTAATAACGTATCAATAATAAATTTTTAATTTTTCTTGTGAAAAACTGGATGCGAGAGTAAAAAGGCTTTATCTACCAATCCATTTATTACACCTATTTTTTGTATTTTGGGTATTTGATAATTAGTGAAACATATTCCGTACAGGGGGTAGAATGGACTAAACTGAGAAGGAAAGTCCTGTACCATTTTACAATTGGCACAGTAGTTAATGAGATATTAATTTATAAAAATATTTAAATTCGCCCGGCCCACCGTCAAATGCAAGCGCGCGGCTGGATGGGACCGCCCAGCGAAGCGCGCCGCGCGCGTTCATTTGAAATAAGTAATTGTTGTAAAATAAATGTTCAATTAATGTTAAATAAGAGTTTATAAAAATGTTTTTCCAAACTATTATTTCAAATGAGAGTGTGCAATTTTAATGTTTAATAAACATTAAATAAACGTATAAAAAATATTTCTTCCGAACATTATGTCAAACAGAAAATTAATGCAAAATAAAACATTTAATAAGCACGCCTGTCTCCTCCCCGATATCCGCGTCCGGGTATCAGTAGAGGAGGAATAATACGATACAACGAATCGAGACGATACGAGACGATACGAGACGATACGAGACGATACGAGACGATACGAGACGATACGAGACGATACGAGACGAGATATGTATAATACGAGGCGAGATATGTACAAGACAAGACGATACTATGTACAATACGAGACGAGACGATACGAGACGATACAAAACGAGACAATACAAGACAATACAAAACGAAACGATACAAGACGACACAAAACGATAGGAGAAATAATATGAAACAATACCAGACTTCGCCGTTACAGGAACGCACGCGCCTGGATCGCCACTCCTCAAATGCGCAGAACGAGAACGCAAAAGGGGAAAAGTAATAGGAAAAATTTTGGTTAATAAAGAAAAGGATGCAATTATAAAAATAATACAAAAAACTTTATTCCTGGACTGGAGGTAATCTTATTATTGCCATCTCGACAGCCGGGAAGTCCGCACACATCTGGTGATCCGTCAGCCCTTAGATACGCCTCAAATCATGCCCCTTCGTGGGGTGGTATGAGCCCAGATCCCTCCATCTCCCCCTGCAGCGGGGGCAGGTGCGCAACGTCTCACCTCTTCGGCCGCAACCAAAACAGAATTCGCGCCTTTTCCAGGGACACCTCGAGTAGAGGTGGCCCTCTTGGCCGCAATTCCAGCATTCACGGTTGTCTGGACTGACGGCGCTGCTCCTTCGATCTTCCGGCTCTCTTCCCCGCGGACGACCGCGCTCGCCGTCCGCGAGGTCCGATCGGAGTGCCTCCTCCCTGCGGCACCTCCAGCAGCGCTCCTCGCCGCCGCGACTCCTGCTTCTCCCGGATGTTCGGCGGGGCCTCTCGGGGGAATCGGTCTGGGTGGCTCTCGCGATCCTACGGGGCTCGTTCTGAAGGCCCACGTCTCTTGTCGCAGGCCACTCACGCACCACCGCTCCCCGTGTGGTATACTGGGCTTCGTAGACCATGCGGCAGAGGTCCCCTTGATCTTCAAGAAATCCTCGGTGCTTGCTGACGGCCGCGAGCAGGCCCTCGTACCGCCGCTCAAATTCTCTTCTTCTCTCTTCCATGGATGCAACAGCCTAATGGGAGAGGGGAAAGGGGGAAAATCATTTAGAGAACCTACAATTTATTTAATCCGGGGCGATATACGGCTTCAAATCCTTCACGTGAACCTTTCCTGCAGCAGCTCCATCAAGAGCGACAAGCTCATACACTACAGACGACACAACACGAATAATTCTAAAAGGTCCCTGAAATTTCGGTGCTAACTTTGCAGCTATCCCCTGAGCCGCAGACGACAGTGTGTTCCTACGTCTCCACACCAGGTCGCCAACACTAAAAACACGGTTCCGCCTATGACGATTATAATAAGTAGCCTGCTTCTGATACGCGGCTTCCAAATTCTCTGCAACCCACACGTTCAACGACCGCACTTCTTTCATTCTCTCTGACCATTCCCCGACGTCGCGAGGTTCGACCTCGGCCGTCGGGTCACATCGCTGACGCAAAGAATTGCCAAGCTCTAATTCTCGACCTAAATTCACGAAAGCAGGCGAAGATCCGATCGACGAATGATACGCCGTATTATAAGCGAAACGGAAATCATTCAAATGTACGTCCCATTCCCGGTGGTCACGATTTAAAAACGAAACTATCATGGTTTTGAGAACTCTATTTACCCTCTCCACGGGATTAGCTTGAGGGTGATATGGCGGCACCGTAGTGTGCGTGATTCCGTTTTCTAGCGCGAAATCCCGCATCAACTTGTTTACAAATTCCGTGCCGTTATCGGTTAATATAAATTTCGGCGTGCCCCACCGAGAGAGAACTAAATCTGTGAAAGCTTCTTTATTATTCTTTCCGTTCGCGGCTCGCAATGCACGTCATTCTATCCATTTCGTGAACAAGTCCTGCATTACTAAAATATATGCGTGACCCGACTTACTTCGCGGTAATGGCCCCATAATATCCGCGGCGACGACCATCCACGGGGCCTCGACAACCCTTCTTCCCATGAGGCCCACAGGGCTCGCCTGTTCGACTTTAGTACTCTGACATACTTTACACTGCCCAACGTACTTTGCAGTATCGCGAAACATACCGGGCCAGTAATAGGCAATCGACAGTCGATGGTGCGTTTTTTCCACGCCTAAGTGTCCCGATCGCGGAATATCTTGTGACTCGCGTAAGGCTTCCGCTCGCAATTCCCGCGGTACAACTAATTTCCATTCATTTATGTCATCAACAACCGCGGCGGTGACTCTGTGAGGGCGCCGAACGTATAACTGATCATCTATTATTTTCCAATCCTTAAAAAGCTCAGGCTTCTCCGAAACCTCCCGAAGCTATTTCCGATACCAAGGATCCTCTGTGTCTCCTAAAGCCTTTCCCCCCTCTACCGCGACTAAACACGCGTCCGTAGTCTCTACAGCCATCCCGGCGTCACTCTCGAACATCCGCGATAAAGCATCCGACACTTTATGTAACGCTCCCTTCCTGTGTACGATCTCGTAATCGTATTCCAGAAGTTCTAGCGCCCACCGTGCTAATCTTCCGGTCGGATTTTTCAGATGGTGAAGTCACCGTAGGCTACTATGATCGGTCAAAACTGTGAATCGATAGCCCTCTAGATACGGCCTAAACTTTCTTGTCGCCCATACGACCGCCAAGCACTTCTGTTCCGTGACAGAATATCTCGCTTCTGCAGCCGATAACGCGCGACTCGCGAACGCTATAATATTTTCGTTTCCCTCGATATTCTGAGTTAACACGGCACCTAACCCGACGGAACTAGCATCTGTTTGTAAAACGAATGGAACGTCAAAATTCGGACACGATAAAGTAGGAGCGACAGCTAGACGAGCGCGAATTTCCTCGAATGCCTTTTCCTGCTCCTTCCCCCATTCCAAGCGCTGATTCTTCTTCAACAATCTAGTTAACGGCTCACTCGCGGTGGCAAACTGTGGGATAAATCTA